TTTATATTTTTGGCAATCACTATTTTCTTTTAGATTTGTGCTTCTTTCCTATTACATCCCTTTTTCTTATTCCTTCTCTTAACTGTTTTCTCTATATATTTGCGTTTTACGGCCAAACTACCTTTTTTTTTATTTACTTCCCTCTTCTACTTTTATTCGTCAAAAGATCTCTCATGATCTCTTCTTCTGATGCTGTTTTTCGTTCTCTTTTCTTTTAAGCTGAATTCTCTTTTTTTGTCACGTTCAAATTTTCCAGTAGTCCTCTTCAAAATACATTTAGTTAGCCAGACACAAGGCTATAGATATCGCAGATGGAACTCAATTCAATAACAACACTCTGATCAACATTCTAACTACTACACTAAACTAAGCGTCTTGGATATGACTATAATCTACATCTACGTCCTGGGTAAGACAATAAACTACGTCCAGCAGCAAGGCCTCTGATCAGGAGGTTTTGAAGAGCGTTGAAGTACCTCATAATTGCTAGTGTTTCTAGGTCCAACCTGACCCGGGTGGTAGCACCTGTTAGGGTCCCAGCTATGGGCAAATAGTTAAACCCGAAACTGGGTCAAAACACTATGAAAGTGTAAAAATAGGTTTTAATACCAGAAATACTTTGTAAACAATTATCAGTAATAAATTTTTGAAGAAAAATAAATTATTACCAGCAATACAATTTAAAAAAAAAAATTACCAACAATACATTTCTGAAAAAATATATTACCAACAATACGTTTTTGAAAAAAAATTATATTAACAGCAATAAAATTTTGAAGGAAAAAAAATATTACCAGAAATAGATTTTTGACAAAACAAAATATTAGCAGCAATAAATTTTTTGTCGGCATTAAATAACCCAATGAGGTTGATATACCGTAAAAGAAACAAAAAACAAACCAAACCAAACTAAACTAAGATCTCGAATCGTGTGCTTCAATAGTCTTATTGTATCTAAACTCTCATCTGGATGTTATGCATAGCATTTAGTTCGTTCTGAAATATTTAAACTATCAGCTATATATAAGACTTTTCTTAGATCACTGATTAAAAATGACTCTAAGCAAATGAAACCCGTAGACCGTAAAGAAAACTATCCTATCTATCAGATCTCACAGAGTGGCACTACAAAATCATAAAGTATTCCATCAGATGACAAAAACCACATCATTTGAACATGTGATAAGTGTGTTCACCTCAGGATGTCACCACTGTGTATAGTGCGTTGGTAGGTAGGCCGGGAAAAAAAGGCACAGACAAAAGCACAGAGCAATAAAGGAAGGCAAGAACACGCCGTTTGCTTATTTGATAAGGTCTTCTTGGTGATGAGTTGTTTCGACTTCTCAGCCTGATGAAGCTTTTTTATGCCGACGTTTTGAGTTTTTTCTTGTTCCTTTTTCCAGTGAATTTTTGGTGAGTTCTAAGTTCCGATGATTTCAATTTGTACGTTTACATCAGAAAATTGCGTGTTCATATTATGTCGGGTGCACTAGTGGGGTTAGGTGGTGTTGGTCGAATTTTTTTTTACTGGAACTTTCGAATAAAACGAACTGCCTCAAGGGTAAAAAATAAATGATATATTTTTAATTATTTTCTTTCGGGTGATGAGTAAATCCTTTGGTAGTGATTGTTGGAAAAAACGCCGTTAATAAGGCGGATATTAGTAGCAGCCTGGAGAAATGGCCGTTAGTGGTACTTTTGAAGTCATTATCGTGATGGGGGTAGTAGTGACATTTAGCAATAGTTCAATGCCAATCTAGTGTTTTTTCTCGTCCCTAAGCATGACAGAAATATCATTAGCAGGTGGCTTCTTAACTACTTTTTCACTCGTACACATGGCTGGTTTATATGCAGGAACGTCTCTGTTCATCCTCTCCTCGTCACTTCTCGCCTAGAGGAGCCAGATTATATGTTTTGATCAGGCTCCGTGACCGTGGCACGAACATTGGTTTCGGATAAAATAAAAAGTGTCTATCAATTATTTGTTTGTTCAAAATTATTTTATTTCCCGGTGTTCCTTTCTTTTTAATTTTTTGATAATGGAAGTTATGCGTGGAGCCTCCCTGATTTTTTCGTATTTTCCAGTCATAAATAAGTATGCTCTAATCCTGCAAACTTCCGGCGTTTTTCAGCCGGGTTCAGTCTTTTATTCTTCTTCCTATTTATTTGAGGGTTATTCGAGAGAGAAGTATAGAAAGAGAAGTTTATAGAGTAAGAGAATGAAAGAGATAAGCGTTTTACAGGAGAGCAGTATTATTTTTCGCTTCAGACCGTTCTCTGTCTCCGTCTCTATTTCGCTCCCTCTCTTTGTCTCACTCTCTCTGTCTCTCTTCCGCTCTCTCTCTCTCTCTCTCTCTCACTCTGTCTGTCTATTTACTTCTGTCTCTCAGTGTATATTTTTCTGTGTCTCGCTCTGTCTTTTTTCTTTCTCGCTCTGTCTGTTTTCTCTCTCTCTCTTTGTCTCTGTCTGTCTCGCTCTCTCTCTCTCTCTCTGTGTCTCTATCTCTCTTTCCCTCTTTCATTCTCTGTCTCTCTCGCTCTGTCTGTCTACCTCTCTCGCTCTCTCTCTCTCGATCTGTATTTCTGTTTCTCTCTCGCTCTGCTTCTCTCACTTTCTCTCTCTCTCTGTCTCTTTTTTCTCTCCAAACGTTAATATTCTTTTCGTCTCTTTCTTTGCTAATATATTTCACCTCATTCCCTTTCGTATCCATTCTATTTTTCTACTCTGCTCTCCCTGTCTCTCTGTTATCATTCTTTATTTAAGTCCTCTTTTCTTTATTTTTCTTTTCTCTCCTTTTTCCAAATTTCCCTTTTCTTAAACCTTTTTTTTTCACTCCTTTTTTCTCTTTCTTTACAACTCTCACTTTTGATTTTTCTCACTTTAAATCACCATTATTTTATCACCTTTCTTTTACGAGTCTTTCTGGATTTATCCCCGCCCCCTTACGTCTTCTAAGCTTCTTCCACTCATTCTTTCTCCCCCCCCCCATTCTCATTTCTTTCTCTGTAACTGTTTCTCTTATTCTTTCTCTCTGTTGTTTTCTTTTTTTTTTTTTTTAAATCCTGAAGAATTAAAAAATTATCACTTTGTTCAATAATTTTTTCTATCATTATCGCAGTTTTGCTTCTCTCACATTTTAAATATTTACTTTTTACTCGTCTGCCTTTCACTGTTCTCCTCACTCCCTCCCTCTATCCCCCTCTCCCTCATTTCGTCTATAAATTAAAACTCCTTAAAAAACTTATTACCCTCTCTTATTCCTTTATACTATTCATCCAAATCTCTTTCTTCCTCTGCGTTTCTTTCTATCTTTATCCATCCTTTTTTCTTCCCCTTTGCCTCACTTTCAATTTCTCTTTTAATTTCTATATGGTATGATTCCTCAAAAACTTACTACCCTCTGTAACCATTATTTCCCAACGTTTTCTTTGACACCCTTTATTTTAGGGTCACGGAAATCTCTCTTTCTTTCTCTACATCTCTATCTTTCTCTCCATCCATCTCTCTCTTTCGCTGTTGCTCTCTTTCACTCTTGTTCTCTCTTTCTCTCACTCGTTCGCTCGCTTCATTGCTCGCTCTTGCTCTGCGATTCAAATATTTCATATCGTTTTTTTATCACCTACCGTTCTTTGGAAACTATACGCACTAATTCCTAAACTTCCTCTTCTTTTCCATTTATTTATTTTTATTTTTTCCTTAAAAAAAAAAAAAAAAAGCCTAAAAGATATACTTGGCTCGGGGGAGTCCTTTCTATTGTCAAGAGTGTGGATGACATCTGGCACAAAACTAGTGTGTCAAGTCCCAGCCGGTAAAGGCGAGCGTTTTTAAATGGCGGCCCAAGTGAATGATTCTATCGCGTGTGTGCCGAAAAATTTCTCACCTTCTACAGTCGACCTTCCGCACCCTGTCCGCTCTATACGCTCCCACCACACGAGAACTAATCAGAAAACACTGGCAACGCTCGCGCTATAAATTTTGGGGAGAGCGTTGTTTTTGCACGACACTTCGGCGCGCACATAATTACAAGTTTGATATGGTGGCCAAGAAAAATGAGCACGGTGGACGAAAGTGCAAAGCTACAAAGAAAGACACGATCACCTCCGGTCCATTTTGATCCCTGCTTGTGTTGAAAGATTGGGAGAGATTGGGAGAGGAAGGTGAAAAAAATAGAGAGAGTGAAATAAAAAAGGAGGTACATTTTGGTTGTTGCTATTACAATTGTCTTGTGCTGACCCCGGTTTATTATGATGACTTATTGTCGTGTTTTCTGGCGACACGGAAGAAGCCAGGCGCAGAGATGTTGCTCTTTTATGTTACGAAGGTGGATTTAGTCATTAAGGTGAATCTCTGGAATACCATTTCACATCTGAGTTCAACGTATTCGTGCAAATTTTCTGATATGCCGTCTGAATAAATGTCTATATACGCACTGCAATAAAAAGAAATATTAGCAAAAGAAATTACTTTTGGAGCTGATACCAGGCACTTGGGATTTCACTGGAAATTTTTTTTATTTTTATTTATTTATTTATTTATTTATTTATTGCTTCCCTTTACCAAAGAAAAGAAGAAAATAGACTGCGTCTGATAACAATAATCCATCAGACTTGATGTCGGGAGATCGACAGAAAACTTGATTGATTCATTCATTTATTCATTTTTTACGGTTTATCAACCCGTTGCATGTTATTTAATGCCAGAAAATATTTCGGAATTCTATGAATATTTTGAGGTGATAATGGCTTAGTGATATAATTCTTACTAATTAAACCTGTGGGGAGAAGAGGTGAATTCATACCTATCCCAAGGCTATTTGCATGTAAGGGAATACAACGAACATGATGGGAATTGAACCACGACTCTACGATCAACAATTCCATCACACTTCCCGCACACCCAACCTTACAACACCTGCTATTCCCAAACGATCACCCATCTAGGTACTGACAAAGCTCGATGTTGCTTAACTTCGGTGATCGTATGGGGACTGGTGTTTCAACATTTTATAGCATTAACCCACTGATATTGCAAAGCATTATTTATTTACCCATCACAATAACAAATAAATGCATACTGACTCAAATATAAAGGAGTAACATTTGGCTATGTAAACAGGGTTTTAAATATGATGTGACCATAAGTCCCGGGAAACTTAAAGGTAGGCATAATTTAAAAAAAAAACAACATAGAAATAAATAAAATTCAATGAAAATGTGATTTTAACATAATTTCCCCCGATTCAAGGTGATAAAGCCACTGAGACGCAAAGTGGTTACTGAGAGTGAAAGAAACTGAGTAAACGTTATTGACAAGAGGGGACGATAAGCGAACAGGTTTCAAAAAGACAGAAGAGGACGATTAACGTTGCATTCAAATTTTTGAAGATCGCAGATGAGATTAACGCAGGAAGCCGGAAGAGAGTTGCACAGACAAAAAGTACGAGAAAAGAAACTATCAGAATAAAACATACGATTTCATCTAGCAATTTCATCAATCAAATAATGAGGCCTAGATATCAATCTGTTACTGCGCTTAAATTCGTGTAATCGAGGTATCAAAAAGGAAAGAACGTCAGGACTATTCCCATTAAAATTGTTATAGAAAAAGCAGAGGGTAGCTATGTTATGACGGTGGAAAAATTAGAAGGCAAGATTCCAGTTCAGGACCGAAGAGTAGACCCCCAATAGATTGTCCAATATGGTCGCATACTCACTTCACTTGACTGTCGAAATTATTATCACCAATCCTATTATTTGCCAGTATGTCTTCCAAATATTACAATCGCTTGAATTTACTTTACTTTAGATATGGATTGCTCGGAATGGAACATGAAAAAAAAAACATAAGCATTGATAACTTTATATTTTTTATACTGAAAGCAAAATAAAGTTATAAATCAGTTTTATTAAACAAGAAAAAGGAAGAGAACTTAAATCTGCAATTTTTTTTTAGTATCTCGACTACATACCCTCAGCATTTGGTTCCCATACCCCCCAAGGGGTATAGATTACCCTCAGTTAAGAACTCCTTCATTAAAGATTCATCATTGAATTTTGTCAAGAATTTTTCGATATACAACAGAATCACCTGACGAAATGTGGCAGCAATATTCAAACACGGACAATTAGTAGACTTAAAAGTGCCATATAAATTCGCAGTGAACAAACTTTTGTAGCAGCAATCTGAGCAAATTTCAATATAATGCTAACTTCAAGGAAAGGAAAGGAAAATATTTTTCGTGATTCGTTTATATGGAAGATTTTAATCGTTTTCATTCTTACAACAATAACGATTTTGACATTTAATCATGTATATCGTGGTGAGTGTGGCCATTAACAAGAAGTGAATCAAAAGTAAGTAACACTGCACTTCTCAGAAGGGGAGGGACGAAGTTATTTACGCCTCTAAGTCATTCAGATTACAATGTAAATTATCCAACTCCGATTTAATAAGGTTTGTCTCCTGGGTATTTTGAACAGGACTAGAGGTTTATCTTTTGTTTCCTGCTTAGGATGGGGTTTCCGTTTCCTTCTAAAGTCTACTCCAACTCTATACTTTTAACATAACCGCTTAAATTCTGAAATTATTATATTATTCTATTCATTTAACAGGAGGAGATAAGTTTGCCTATCGTCCGGTACACCCCACTTCCTGTTCTTTTGAACAGGAGTAGAAGTTTTCCCTTGTTTCCTGTTTAGGATGAGACTTCCGCTTTCTTTTAAAGTCTACTTCAAATCTATACTTTTAACGGATACGCCTAAACTCTGAAATTTTTTTTTCCTCAATAGAAATAGACAGGTTCGCCTATCATCCGGCTAACATTCCCCCCTTCAGTCTTTTGAACAGGAGTAGTGGTTTATCCCTTGTTTTCTGTTTAGAATTGTGTTTCTCGTCCTTTCTAATTTTTAATTTTCTTCTCTTTTACTCCCAGTAGCCACTTGCATCTAAGTGATATAAACGCCTTGCTTGATGGGACATGATTAAAAATAAATATACCAAAATGTTTTTGTTTTTACCATAAACACATACATAAATATATGTTTGTGGATCATGTCTAAATGAATATTCAGGGTCTCTTACCAGAGACGGATGATAAGGTTAGAGCGAATTCATCAACATTATCTCTGCTGCATATTGTGTAAATAGACAGAAGTGACTTTGATATCGTGTACACTACACTTTTTGACTAAGTTCACGTCTATTATCATCTCTCAGTTACCTCTCTGTCTTTGAACAAAGTGCACTCAGGGGCTTCTCTGTCAAAGGAGAGAGGGACAACTGAGGAAAATAATACTGAAGGGTTGCCCAGATCCGCGGAAGAGCTACACGAGGCCGCGGCCTCGCATAGCACTAGAGGGAGGGATCAGTGCTCGCACCGAGGTCAGCGCAACCGACGGTTGCGGGAGCTGAGGGCGAATTTTTGTTGCTGTCCTGGGTGTACGCGCTAGGGGTCCTTACCTAAAAATATATCTTGTGTCACATCTCGTCCTAGTAGGGGGGGGCAGAGTTAATACCGTGACTTTGATATCGTCTAACAGCATAGATTCCCTGGTACTTCAGGCCCGGTTGTGATAGAGTGGCCATATGGCCAGGACGATAGAATACGTACAGATAATTAACGGAAGGAAAATGACAAGTGCATATACGGAAATTGAGATAATATTCAAGAAATATTTCAGCAATATTCATTTATAAATATATAAATTTCTATATATTAATTGAATATCAAACGCTGAATTTTGTCTTACCAGAATTTGAATTATCGCACTTTGCGTCCTCGACATGCTTTGATAGAGTTTAAACAACCTGATGAATATTCATGAACGTTCTCAAATTTAAAAGCCTTGCTAAACCAATGACATCCTTGCTCTTGTATATAAACATATGCAAAAAAAATAAATCCTTACATTCATTTGCCTTGACAAATTCCCTTAGAGGATGAGACGAACGGTTTTTTCCTCTTGTTATATATATATATATATATATATATATATGAATAAAAACAAAAGGAAACAAAATAAAAGGAATCTTAGCCGACGCGTTTCATCCTCTTATCTTGATAATGTCCTCAGTGAACGAAACTCGTCCGCTAAGCTATCCTTTTATTCATATATATATATATATATATATATATATATATATATATATATATATATATATATATGTGTGTGTGTGTGTGTGTGTGTGTGTGTGTGTGTGTGTGTGTGTGTGTGTGTGGGTTGTGTGTTGTGGGAAAGCAATTGGAAAAAAGTTTTCGTGTGATACGTTTCGTCCATTACAACTTTATCGGAGAAAAAATGATGTTATGCAACGGCACGTGCGCACGAAGGGAATGGAGACACAGAGAATTTAAGAATTTTTCTTAAATATACATTTTCGGTATATAGTCTCGCCGGTTTTGTTTAGTTTCTTTTCCGTTTTGATGTTACCATCATTTTTTTTATGGATTACGGTGAGAAGGAGTAATATAATAATACAAGGTGTGATGGGTAAATTGTCGCCATTTTATATCTTTCTATTTTGCGCATGCGCGTCGTTTGCTTTTGATTTTGACGACTGCACTGTATAGTAAGCTCAGCTGGGCGCCATCTGTGAGAAAAAGATCATCACTCCGTCAAAAATAAACAAACTGCATTCGCGTCAGAAGCACCAGTACGAACATTTTAGAGTCTTTCGGTGGCAATATGGGGAGAATGTAGAGGATTTATAATGATGAGTCTAATGGTGATTACGAACGACAGCTCGGAATAATCATTCCTGATCGTTCTAAGAAAAGAACACCCAAATTTGTTGGAGATGACCTAAAACTTAACACGGAGGCCTACAACAAGAGGAATGCCACCCTGGGCAAGAGGGTGGCTGCTGGAAGAACGTATGTCTGACAACAGGACTCGGCACCATGCCACACAAGCAGAAGCCACTCATGGCTGTCAGACAGTTTCTGTGACCACATCACCTCTTACTTCTGGCCATCTAATTCCTTATACTGCAACCCTCTTGCGTGGAGCTAAGTTGGGCGAGAGACCAACAAAATTCTTTTAATTGAAATGAAAGCAAGGATTATGTCAGCACTCTCCAAAATAATCAAGGAAACCGTCCAGAAGAGACGCAGGAGATTGCGAAATCGTCTGGAGAACATGGTTGAAGCCAATATCGAATTTATTGAATGAATTTACTCTTTACTATTTCAATATATTTTTGTGTAATTTTGGTAAATATATCTGTAAAAATGAGATGTCAGTGTTATTTTAATGTAATTTAGACGACAATTTATCCATCGTCACCATATCATTGCATACCGTAATGTCACCGCTTTCTTTGATCGCTGGTTAAAAATGGCTTCGAGCGAATGAAGCGTGAATGTCTTTGAGAACACCATCCTTCTGCGAATCTCGTTGAGCGACGCTACAAAATCACAAAAAATGTATTGTACAAAATAACAGAAACTACATCTCTGGAGGATTCTCAATCAAAATTATCAATTAAAATGGGTACACATGTAACTCGAAGACATAATAATGATGTCGATGTTCCACCAATGAAAAGGTTAGGAAGGAAGCCTAAATCAATAAGGTTTTTGGAGATATTTTAAACTGAATTTAAACCATTATATATATATATATATATATATATATATATATATATTAGATATTATATATATATATATTAAAAAAAAAAAAAAGAGAAGAGAGGTGCCGCAAAGGTTTTTGGTTGTAATGTGGATTTATTTAGAAAAAAAACTTTTTTACCTGAAGACAGTCGCGAGACCAGAAACACGTGTCGAAAATTATAAAAAAACAAAGCATAATATTTTTTCTAAATAAATCCACATTACAACCAAAAACGTTTGCGGCACCTCTCTTCTCTTCTTTTTAATATACATACTTTTCTCTCATTGGAACCACTACAATATATTTCTTATATATATATATATATATATATATATATATATATATATATATGAATGATTTTTCAGAAAAATTGTTTTCTCAAGTAGAC